AAACACATTTTCAATTAGCGAAAGTTTTGTTTTTCTCAAACTTGACTTGATCTTCGTATCTTATTAAACTTAGTAGAAGAAAAACAGAAAGATATAATTATAAAATGCATTTTATATTCGAGAAATAAAATTATTTTCTAAACAATATCTCTGCATATCAGAATTCAAAAATTTGTGAAAATATTATTACTAACACTTTCGTATAGAAATTTGATTGCATTTGTTCGAATTTGATCACATCTTTCGGAGAAAATTTAGCAGTATTTGCGTCAACAGAACAAAATTTGATAACATATAATAAGTTGCGTGACAAAGTTCATTAGTAAATTACAAAAATATGGAAAAACTCTATAGCTGAATAAAGGGGAGAAGTAAGACTGAATAATGAATGAAATTCAATTATACATACTGCTTTCGTTGCCACAATTTACTTGCAGTAGATTCAACGAGTTTCCATTTCCGTGATGAAGTAGAATTTATTCAGGGTTAATATTCGACGAGACGATAAAAAAATACATATATACATATTTCTTTACATTTCCCTAGATTCATAGCTAAGTGCAAAAGGCACTTCTCTTTCCTACCAGGGGTTATTATTTTTTCTATTTGATGAATATATGTTCTTGCTGTAGATAAAAACATATTTACTGTGCATTACGAAGATTAGTAATCGCTAATTTCAAATTAAACATTTACAGGACACAAAGGAAACGACCACGTTAAATTACTTTTGATCTAATGATTTTGTCTTCGTATGATCGAATGATAGAATCCATGGGTGTTACTGGCTTCTAATTTTTGATTGAAGCAAAATTAAAATACATAGTCACCTAGTTCTTTAAATTTCTAGCAATAAAACAAATTTCTTCATCAATTAGTAAAACTGCAAACATATAATTATTTGTTCTTGTTTTTACCATCGAATGAGCGTAATCAATGATAATTTGTGAAAATTTTCTTTATTTGACTGAAATATTGCGGCGATCCTTAAAAGATTTCTAATTATTCAGCGGAACGTATAACCACTGTCCCCGCCACAAACGACGCCCATGCTTTAATCATACATATTTAAACTTATATATTGTATTGCCTTATATTGAATTTATATCTTTGTATTTCCTATTATGCAATATTAAGTAATGTAAGGAATTTTAAATTTATAAATCATAAGACTTTTTCTATTTAAAAAATTGTTATTCTATACAATACTCTACATTCTACAGACGCATCTAACGTTATTTACTTGTTAAGAGGTATATAGTAAAGAATAAACTCAAACATAATTTTCTGATAAAATAAAAAATAAAGCAAAATTTCTCATCTCTAAATTTAAGAAAGAAAGATATATTATTCTCAAAAAACTGGCTGTGATATAATTATTTAACCAGAGAATAAGTAAGAATGAAATAGAATTAGTTTTAAAAACTTAAATATTTCTTCTTGTACCTCCCACTACAGATAAATTTTACAATCACTGATGATTTTGTAACAAAAATGGCAGTAATTCCAAATAATAAAACTATTTCTGGAGTTTAAGTTAGATTTAAGGGCCCAGGTTCTGAAGGTCTTATCGCATACCATTTGAAAACCCATCACGTCAGTGGCCTGCCAGTTGGGAGCATCAATTATCGGATTAAGGTACCGAGTCATGCAACATTAAAAGCTTGCACAGTTTGAGTCAATGAGTAGAAGGCGCCTGTAAGTGGACCGTAGCACATGGTACACGGTGGTAGTACCGACCGACGGCAAAGATCCTTGCTAAAACCCAGGCTGATAGCAGAGAGCAGAAACCACCAGAACAGGCCTTTGTATGGAATGCTTTACGAAACATTTATATTTTATTGAATTTTAAAATTTCTAGTCATGGTGAAGCTCAATAGGGTCTGTAATTGTTTCGACTTCTTATGGTCCGGGTGGACTGCTAATTTGCAAAGCATTGTCTTAGTGGAAGGAGTTCGTTCTAGTTTAGCAACTTATTCAGCATTATTCAACTCAAAGTAATTCATGCAACTAGAATGTGACTTCAAGTCCTTCCACGGATGTTCCGTCTCACCGCAATTCATACAGATCGGCTCAAATTGGAAAAAAAGCATGCGGAATTTCTCAGACAGTAGCCCTTTTAACAACAAAGAGCTAGCAATCCATTTTTGCAATCGGTACTCTTTTATTCAAGTTTGATACTTTTTAGCTTTATATATACTTCAAAGTGCCGAATATCTAAATACAGTAACAACTGACATTCCAGTCATCACTAAATCTGGAATCGAATGCTTAATTCTGACTTGCAAAGAACTATGTATTGATCCTTTATCAATTCCAAAAGGTTCTCTTTAAGAGCTTTGACGTCTATGCTGTATCAGTCTCGGCTTCCTTCATTCTTGCACCCGACAGGTTGATCTTTCTCTTTACTTGACCTATCCCATCATTTAGCATCTTGCCTCCGAATTTGTTTTAACCCAAACAACTATTTCCTTAATCTCATGGTTTCACCGTAAGATTAAGGAAATAGTCCGTTCTTTTTAAGGAAACATATGAAGTCTTGTGTGTGAAGGTGTATCAGAACTGCATGTATTGGCTCAGGTCTAGATGGTTCAGAATGAACTTTTTTTTACCTTTTCAGGCTACTCGTTTATCTTCTCTTAGCCCGGAGCGATTAGAAGATCTCTGTTTTTCGCCATATTATTCGAGACTACATTGATTGAATTCAAATTAATTCAGCATCGTTATTTTTTTGTATTTCCCTTTAAAATGCTTGCCACTGCTTCCTGATCTTAAAAATTGTCCTCCCTCCAGTCATTTCTCTCTTTTTTCTCTTTTTTTAAAACAAGATCCTCATAAAAATACGAGCTCATCGAAATCATACTAAAACTCAACACAGAAAACACAGCAGGATTAAAATATGTTTAAAAGTACTTTTCCGTCCCTTCTGCTAGCGTAAGCCGCCTAAGAAAATCCATCATCCTTCTAAGATGAGGTGTAAAGCAAAAAAAACAGGTCATAAAAGCGTTAGTTAGCGCATGAAATAAGCACGACGTGAGATGGACTATAGGTATTCTAAATCGGATTGCTTATTAATTTGATTTGATATCTTTCCTTACTGAAAGAAAACATTTTTGTTTTTGTTTTCATTATCACATATGCAAACTTAAAAAAGAAAAGAAAAAATAATACATGAATTGTAAAATAGTAAATATGTGTTTATTTGACACACCAGAAATAATAAGAATTTTATTCGAATGATATATATATNAAAACAAAGAAAAATTATAGACATATGAAAAAAGGGGGGAAATAATAAGTAAAAAAATAACAAACAACAGATTTTAAAAAAATAAAAAATAAAAATAAAAAATAATTTGAAAAAAAGGATGAAATTTTATTTTAAAAAAACCGGAAAAAAAGCACTCTGTTTTGCGGATATAATCGTGTGGGCTAATGAAAAGATCATTTCTTTTTTTTCTGGTTTTTTTAAATAAAATTTTATCCTTTTTTTTTTTTTTTTTTNTCCTTTTTTTTTTTTTTTTATACTGTTGATTGTTATTTTTTTACTTATTATTTCCGCCCCTTTTTTTATATATCTATAATTTTTCTTTGTTTTATCTTCATTTTGAACTTATCTAATGAGTTCTGTTTACTTGCAGCTTAAGCGCAATAAATGAAACTTATTGTTTTTCTTAACTTTCTTCGTGTTTTCTTGTATTTATTTATTTATTATATATATATATTTGTAAACAAAACAACAGGAAGGAAATTTTAAAAGAAATCAAGATGGGTTTTTCATTTACAGCACTAAAGAAATATTATTTAATGTTCTTTCCTTTAATTCATTAATAATAATCAATAAACATGTATTTTAAAAGAAATTTCATGGTGATTATCCAACATTTGCTTTGTTACATCAGTAAGCTTTTTGATCACCTTGAAAGGACCCAAAAACTCTTTTTTCATATTTATCCTTTGATTTTATATAGTCTATTTCATTAAGTTTTAAGTATCTGAGTTTTGATTTTTCATTATCACTTTTGTTTTGCTTCTACTGAGCATCAGAGATATTTTCATATGTTTTATCATATATTTTGTTCATATCCGAAAGAGTTTCACCCAAGTAATGATCTTTATCTATTTGTTGTACTTGAATAACAGGATTAAAAGTTTCAAAAAGAGATGACAAATTTCGACCACAATGTATTATATTTGGTTAAAAATCTTGTATTGTATCAATAGAGTACATGTGGCCGGCAGCTTATCCTTTACTCAAATGTAAAGTTTCTGCATATTTATTTCTAAGAAAAATATTACAAGTATAGTATTTATTTATTTTTTCTAGAATCCATGAAAACTAATAAAATTTTGACACCTACTAAATTTTGTCGCCGTCCATAAAATATTTTTACTGTTATAATAATAGATTGTGAAGTAAAAAAAACCCATAATATTTGGAGAATCTTAAGCATCAAACACAGCTCAGTTATTAAAACCGGCTTCAGTAAATTATATTACGATATATCAAATTGTGTATATATAGGTATATATAGCTTAACTTTACTTGAACGAACTTTTAAATTTTTAATTAATATAAAAATTTGTCTAAATTCATATTTGATACTTGAATAAGACAATGTATAAATTTAAGCTTTGAAATTAATTGAATTAGAATTCGAATAAAAAAATTTAAGTTTTCAAGCCAAAAATGTTTGGCTTCATTGTTCAATGTTTGAAAATAAATTAATTTATAATATCAACTACTTACTAATTTTTAATTAAAGAGAAATTAACTCGATGCATAAATTGATATTTATTCAACTAATTTTAAGAGCATACTAATGTACCTTAGTGTTTCTATATAGTTATTATAGAAGTAAAATAAGTTCGAAACATGTTTGTTAAACTTTTTTTAGATAATTCTATGGTTGGTTTAATTTATTTTTTATTCTTGCGTCAAATTAAATCGATTCATTATTAATTCAGACCATAATAACATTCTCTTTCCTAAATTTTCTAGAACAGCTATTTTCTGCGCAGACGCAAAACCACCTTATTCGCATTACTAATTTACCCTTTGTTGACAATTACATGATGAGAAAGGGATAGAGAGTGAAGTAAGTAAACATTCATTCTAATCTTATTCATAAGTGCTGTGGCAAAGTTAAATGTTTAATTTGTATGTATATTTTGAAATGTGTATTTTCTATTCCTTAAAAAATTTTTTCTACAAGTGTATATAAATTCTAGAACAGTTAAATGGTTAGATATTATTAAAATATTTTTACAATATACGTTATTTCAAAGTAATCGATATGCAAATTTTCAAATTTAAATTTACGTTAAGAACATTTTACAATTTTTTTTTACAATAAGCAAAACGAAAACCATTTCCAGATAGACTTTTATTTATAATAAATTCTTGAAAAGTATTTTATTAAGTATTTTCCTCAAAAAAAACTGTTTTTAATAAAATCAAAATGTATGAATTTATGTATGTATGTAATTTTCGTATTACGTTTAACTGCAACTCGTTTACTTATTATCATTTGAAGAGGGTGCTTCACGTTTTGCATTTCAGCTGTACACTTGTTTCAGAAGTGACTAACACGTAAATATAAAAAAGACATTTAAAATCTATTTTAAAGAAATTGTAGGATGAATATTTAATATTTTGAGATGAATAATTTCTACTATTGTTAATGTTTGAAATGGCAATAATAATAATAAGAAGAAGAAAAATAAATATAATACAATGTTTATGCAAACTTTTTTGTATGCAATATAGTGTTTATGTTTCAGATTTCAGCATGCCTGCTAAAAGCTCATTTGGAAAGAAGAAGACTCAATCTGTCAGACACTATGCATCAGTGGTTTTCAGAGAATCATCAGTTAATGTACTTTCTGGCATAGTGACAGCAGCAACTATTCCGAGGAAACTTTTCAGAATCGTTGTCTTTTCGTTATTTTTAATTGCATTTATGTATCAATGTGTACGATTTCTTAATTATGTACTCGAATATCCAACAATTTTGAATATCGATATAGCGAGTCCAGATACATATATTGCTCCTGCATATACATGGTGCAATAATCAAAAGTAAGTAGTCATGAATATTGATGCAGATATCGTCTGACACCTTTGCATAATGTGATGCATACCATACTAAGTTAAAGTCAGTGAGCATGTGTTACTATAAATTGCACATTTAAATAACACCAAATTTCAGATAAATTGTGGTAAATGGAATTTCTCATGTCTGTTTCTCTTTAAAATCTAATAATATGAAATGGGTGAATAACTTAATATATTAAGAACTTTATTTTTATGTATCCTCAAATATGATTCTAAAGTTAGTGACGGATTCCTTTTTTGAAAAATTTCCAGCTAGGCATTAGAAAAAAAACTAGTTTTTCTCAGATGTCAAAATAAAGTATTTTTGGGAATTACTTAAAATAACTCGTTAAATAAAATAAAATTCACACTGTAAAGGTCAGAGGGTCAGAGGTCAGAGGGTTATACGAAACGGCTCAAAAAGTTTGATAGCTGTATGTACAATAGTTTTTTGTGTAGAGTGTTTTCCGTTAATGAGTTATTTTCATTAAAATTATCTAAAAAATACTCTTTAAACAAAAAATTTCCTGTATATTTAAATTTTCTCCATTAAATATGTTTATTTAAATTAATATACAATATAAATTGCAATAATGTAGTGGAAAATATTTATTTTTCAAAAATTTTGTCCCGAAGGTAGTCGGATAACTTAAATTAGGGTCTAAAGTATCGCAAGTTACACTACAGTACAAAGTAAAAAATTGGGTTCATCATTCATAAAATCCATTTTGTCGCAAAATATTATAACGTAACTTTTACCATAATTTCTTTAATTAGAGTGATTCGGTTATTTTACGGTAATGTTCTGGTAAAAACATGTTCTGGTAAAAATGGGTATTACGGTAAAAAGATTCTGTAATGTGATTGTTGGTCTTTTTTAATACAAAAGTTATTTGATACAAAATTTCTAACAGTGCAGCAGGAAATTCAAAAGGGTAATTATAATGGCCTGAGGTTCACAATATTCAAAAAAAAAATTAAGGGTGTAGAACAGTTCATAATGTTTACTTAAAAATTGAAGGCGTAACGACTGTAGTTCCTGACATTCTCCTAAAAATAAAAAAAGTGGACTCTGTGATTCATTATATTTCCATAAAAATAAGAAGGGTCACAAATTACAAGAGTATGTCATGAATCAGGGTGCAGAGTCTAAATCATGATATTCTCTTGCAATTCATAAAATTTCCTTTTTTAAGTTAGTTCAATTAGCTCACTTCAAGCATAACTTTAAATAATTTCAAATACCTTCATTAATTAATAATCCTGTACTTTTCAATAATTTATTCTATATTACCATTGTGCTTGGCTCATTTCCCTAAAACCATATTCTTTCCAGATTTAGCAGGAAAAAATATTGCGAAAAATATCCGGACCATTGCATGGAAATTAACGAAGAATTTTGTAAGGAAAATGTGCACTACTGCAAGAATGCAAATATAAAAGTAATTATTAAGATATTTTTTGCTAAATATCGGTCAATTATTTTGTTTATAATAATCAATATAAGCAAAACTATGCATTTTAACGAAAAACCAGTGAAATACACAGTTTCACCCAATACTCTATATACTATTAATATACAGCTAATGTAAAATATATTTCACTCTATTGAATAGATTTTATAACGCAATACTCTTGATGAATGCAAAACTTTTTTAACGTAAAAATAATAATAATAATACTTTATCTTAAATTGTAAATCTTATAATGAATGAAAGTAAATCTTATAATGAATGAAGTAAATCTTATAATGAATGAAGTAAATCTTATAATGAATGAAGAAAAGTTATAAATTTTATCTCAAATTTCATTATTAGACAAATGTTTGACTTCTCAAAAACAAACATTTATTTAAAGTTGAAAATTTGATTGCGATTTTTTTCATGATTTTTAATATTTTTTGTATTTTTAATCAGATTTTAAATCACTGCACCGTAAAAATAACTGTGTGAAATATGGAATATATGCATATTTTGCTACATGCATATTTATATAATATATGCATATTTTACTTTTATTTCATAATATATGCATATTTTACTTTTATTTCATAATATATGCATATTTTACTTTTATCTGATTTTTGAAAACTGAATAAAATGACAAGGAAGAATGAGTAATTTAGAAATACTAGTAATAATTTAATTTTAATGAGTTTTAATGAAACTTTTAAAATAAAATTAAATTATGAATAATTTTATTTTAAATACATTGAATTGTGAAGTAATAAAAACGTTCTTCTTTCCGTTTTATCACCAATTAGAGATTTTTTAATGAATTTAGATGGGACTTTTTACACTTTTTGGACAATTTTTAAATAGTACAAAGGCGCAAATAATTCACAATAAATTTTTGAAAAAAGAATGTCTAATAAATGCTCTGGATCCTAGTAAGTTCAACATTTTGTGTGCATGCGTAATAGCTTTCTAGTCTTCTCTTAAAATTTCTTCTCTTATAATTTTAATTAATAATAAGCAACAAATTAATTAATATTATAACACCAATAACTATACAAAATCATTTTAATTCTATGATTTTATTTGTATATCAAAAGCAATAGCAAACTCTTACATGAAAAAAATTCATTATTCCCTTTTCAAGTTTTTTTAATTAAAATATTTATGTTCCATTATTATTCATGTAAAATTTAATTAAAGATTTTATAAAAAGTTATTTTTCTGACAATAAAATCAATTTAACTAAATTACTTATTTTCGCAAAAAATATTTAATTTTCTTAGGCTAATAAAATGAAAGATCAACTTTTAGTTTAGATGATATTAAGAGTAGAAGCGGCTGATTTTAAATATTTTATATTTACAGGTAAAAAACGAATATCTTCAGAATAAAACTGAGATCGGTGATATATATCATCTTGTACATAACATTGAAGATACACTGTATATATTACTATCAACAACTGAGTAAGTCTTTCTTTTTTAGTAGTAAAAAATAAATAAATCATGAAGAGTAAAATCTTGGTAAAAAAATTCTATACTTAATTTTATTGAATGTGAAAAATTATCAGAGTTAATGACATGTTATGGAGTTTGAAATGTGATACAGTTCTGTGTATTAATTCATATAAAAATGCCTGAATAAATAATTTTCTAAAAGAAAAAAGAAAAATGCTTAGCTGTTGCATACACAATGATCGCATACTGAAGAAATTCTGGTGAAATTAGTGTACTGCACGGCAATGATTTTTCTGATGAAAACAGAGAAAAAAAACATAAGTCTGATAATAAAAACAAAGTATATTTAAACCATTTATTTAGCAAGTTTTCCTTTCATATGGTAGCGGTTCTCCTTAAATTTTGGATTTCCAAATTATAGCTCTTATTATAGCATACTTATAGCAAGGACACAGTGAAAAATACAAAATTTAAAAGTATATTTAATCAAATAAAAATTCTCCATACCATGATCTAAGAAATCTTGATAAAATTACCAAATTTTGCCACATATACTAAAATTTACTCCATATTATAACACTGTATTTTATAGTTAATTTAACCAAAATCATTACCTAAGGGCTTTGGTAAAAATTACTGATCTTGTTGGTGTTTCTATAGAGCCAGAAAACGGAAAATTTAACCATATTCTGTTAGTTTTGACCATATTTTTTTCAATGCCGCAAAACATGTTGATCTAAATGATTTGACTTGAAAAATATTCTTGATTTTTTTTAATTAATTAACTTTCTACCGCTAATAATTGTCATATGTTTTCATTACAATTATCTTCATTTATAAAATACCCTTTTGTATTAATGATATCCTTAGATGGTTTGATAATTGAGGGTAAAGATGCATTAATTAAAAAAACAGATGTTTTAATTAAAGAACAGATGTGTTAATTAAAATAATTTTAATTAACAAATATTATTGTTTCAGGGCACCGCAACTTTCTATCGATTTATTGCTTCGGTTGAGATCTCTGGAAAATTTGCTAGATTTTTCAATTTGCTTCAATGCCAACTCCGCAGTAAACAGTCAAGAAATGCCTTTAGTCTACAAAAGATTAGAATATCACAAAGGTAAATACATTACATTTTATGATTAATCACGTTTCAAACAATTCTTTACGTTTTTTTTTGAGATTTTTAAAAGATTTTTGAAAATAATTTAAAAAGTAATTATTGAATCTATTAAGCAATCCAATAATTTTAAAAATTTAATTTAATTTTGAGTACTGAACATATATTTTCGAGGAAATCTTCATGTTATCCCCATTAAGCAAATCATCGAAAAAACACAACGATACATTTCTTTATTTCATTTTAATAATCTTATAAACACCCGGTAGATAATTGAAACATGAATTTTAAACTTTTCTTGCTTAAAGTTATGATTAAAAGTTTCATTTATGTTGATAAAAATTTTTAAAAAAATTCTGAAAATTGAAAATTATTTTTTTATTAAACAAGAAAATGCGAAAGTGGGAAAATTTCAGAAATTATTTTATATCCATATTATTTTTGTAATTCATAAAAAAAAACTAGTATTAAAATTTTTACTTCTACTACAGTCAAAGCTTCAAATGATATTTTGTTGATATTAAAACACCGACTCTGAATTAAATTTGGTGTTTACAGAAATGTTATAGAAAACATATTTAAAGACATTGTTTAACGCCACCTTGCACCTTAAAATGATTATTAATATTGATTTCTGTTGCAATTCTGTTGTAATTGTTTTACGTAACTTAAGATGGTTAAACTCTAAATCATATGAGTTTAATATTTTTATTATTACTATTCAGCCTTTTTCAGAGTGGATCATAAATTCAAGATAGACTGTCATGAAGATGACATATTTGATCCAAACATTTTGCCCGGAATACTATTTGAGGTTCATTCTCCATTTGAAGCTGTGAACCCTTTTCTAACAGGGTATTTTTTGCAGCCTGGAAGACATTACAAAATAACAATTCATTTAGTAAGTTTTTAGAACAATTTTTCAATTAAATCTTATTTATATACTATTCCAATTATTTCGTGTTTATTCATTTTAATATATCACTAAAAGAAGAAGTAATCCTTAATATATTACATTAGATTCTTTTACTTAAGTCCATTCAGATTTTTTTTTATTAATTGCTACTTTTTGTGTTCTAGAAGTTCTTCTAAACATGTAATATATTTGAAAAGTAATCTGGGTGAATTATTCGAAATTTCCCTAATTTCGCACCATGGAAATTTTCTTAGATTATCTAAGACGAATTATACCTTAGATATATTTAATATTAAAAATTGTAATGAAAGCAAAACTAATTATTTTTAAGATGCTTGTTCCAAAGAAAAATTATAAATAAGGTAATAACTAGTTACAAAGAAATGTTTAAATTAATTTGAAATATTTAAGTATTCGTTTATTTTGCGCCCAAGGTTTGATTTCTAAGTCCAAGGATTTTGGGGTCAAAACTGGCTTTACTGAATGTAATCTTGAACAATATATACACTTTTTGTGCAAAAAAGAAGCCTAAGATTGTTCAATATAAAAGAAATTTTAAACTTAGATTTATTATAATTTATTTTTGACCTATTGGATGATCTGTGGAGAAGGTGAGACTATTCAAGACTATTTAAAGAAAGACAAAGACTATTTAAAAAAGACAAAGACTACTTAAAGAAAAAGATATAGTCAATTATGTAAAAGCAAAAAGAATTCAATGGCTAGGACACCTTGAGAGAATGGAGGAAAACAGAGGTACTAAGAAGATATTTAGGGGACAGTGCCAGGGCCAAAGGAAAAAATGAAGGCTGGTCAAGAGATGAATAAGAGCAATTCCTATCTGAAATTAGTTTTTCTTCTAAAGTTACAGATATTTTTTATTTTAAAAAATGACATTTTCGATCTATTTTTTTTTGTCGCAATGTACAATTTTTATATATAATGAGGAAACGCATAAATATTGCAACAAATAAAAAATGGCAACAAATATAAAATGGTTTCTAGCGCACTTATTTGGATTAAAATTTCATCGAAACCCATGCCGGAAATGTCGTCATGAGCGGCTAGTGACGCTTCTCTATTATGTTCTGCAACACATAAAGAAACAGTTCATAATTGGGAAATACCTCTAACGGTGTGGAAAAATTATTTTCGAGAATGTGTTGCTGTGCAATTTTAATCCTTATGATATGTCCTATCTCCCTAGAAGTTTATTAATTCGACCCCCTGTTATATATGTAAATGACTTCTTTAAACTTCTACATTTTGACAAAAGATAGACTAAACTAGACTGAATAAACTAAAACAGACTGAACAAGACTACATAACTAAATTCGACAAAAATCTACTAGAAACCGAATGCAGATTCAAAATCATCGATAAAAAAGAACTGCGGAAATATCTCATAAAATAAAAAACAAAACAAAAAAAGTCTCCCTTTGTAATTTAAATTCTAAGTATCATTTTTATTTGTTAGAAAGAAGAAAAGTTGCTTCCTTCTCCGTACAAAACAGATTGTATTGATTATGATAACAAATGGCTGAACAATGGAAAATCAGGGCCCAGATCGCAAGAAGTAATGCATTTATTTAAAAAATAATTCAGATTTCTATCTTTTTTGCATTAAAAGTATGTTTTTTACAGTTTGTCACTTTGTATAACATATATTTTAAATTTCAACTATAATTTTATTGAAGTTCTGACTCACTGAAAAGTTTTAATGCCAATTCATGTCGAAGAGAAACATGTTTTTGCACATGTAAGCAGAGAGACAATTCTTGTCACTTATCTGTGCTTTAATTTAAGCCTTAGTGGATAAAATGCCAAGAAACTGTCATTTTACAAAATTATTTATATAGATTATATAAATTTAAAAATAATGGAATTCGTAATTATAAAAATTAGAAAGTTATACATTCTAACTTACTTTCTCTGAATAAGCATACATGTTTTAGGTGGACTGAGATGTTTGATACTCAAAATATAGATGTAGTATCAATCTGTAAAATATGGTTCCAATTGCTTAGTCTGGAGAGAGGTTGAAAGCTCAAATCCCCTCATCTAGTTTTTTTTTGCGTGTTTTGTATTATTTCGAGAACTTTTTAAGATGGTTAGAAAATTTTTGGCATGTAATTATAAAACTCGGGTATCCAAAAGTAATTACATGCATAAAACTGTTTTTACAATTATTTATTACTTTTTAATATTTAAATTAGCAATTGTTGAAACATTTCGAATTGGAAGATTTTAAAAATTTTATTACTAATTTAATTTTGATAATTTTAAATGACAGAATTTGAAAGAAACTATTAGAATGGATCTTGAAGAATAAAAAATTTTAATTTAGCTTTCTTGTGGTGATAAATAATCAAAAAAGTAAAATTATCATTAAGGGGTAGAAAAGTTTCACCACTCTGAAAAAGCTATTGGGATCATATTTTTCAAATTGCCCTTATACCCCCCTCATATTATTTTGAGCATCGAGGACCTGAATTTTTTGATAAAAAGGTATTTTTATTCAGAGAAAGCATAGTTTTGTGTCGAATTTCAAAATTTAAATTATCACCAGCTGTAACATATTTGAATTTTTAAGATTACCCTCCAGGTAATAAAGTTGAATCCTACTCTGTTAGAAATTTCACGGAAGAAATCTTTCAATAGCAATTTATTTCATTGTTATTTCACTATATTGAAACACAGCAGTCAAATAATCATAAATAAGATGGTATTCAGACTGTTTACTGTGAGAAAAACAGTTTATTTAATTTTGTCACCTAATGCGGTTAATTCTCAACTAATACTGTTAATTCGCACCTAATAAGGTTAAGCAACCATAATTTTATCGCAGTCCACTTCAGGAAACAACTTAGCTCCGTGCAGCTGGATGCACAGTAAAGCCGAGAAGGCTAATCTATCAGTATCATGACTACTGTTCGAACGGGAATTCGAGTTCCAGCTTTGACAACATGAGGTTTTTTTTTCCATTTCGTTCAAAGCATGGAGAGTTTTAGTGTCCTGTACTCCCCAATTTGTGTTCTGCACTTTCTAATAAATATTACCCAACGAATAGCCCATCTCTAATGTCCAGTTAAATTTCCTTTTCACGGTTTTAAAAATATGTTAATTGCAAATGGCTAAAAACCGTATAGTTTTGCATTTATAGTTTCTTAACCATACTAGTTGTAAGCGGTTTCAAAACCGTAAAATTTAAAAAAAATATTCACTACCATAAACTTTACGGTTAATTGGATGGACAGACTGCTGATGGCTATTTTATCACAATTTTGGAATGAAAATTCTAACAGTGTAGTACTCAGATTAAAAAATATCAAAATGTTCACTTTTTTGTGTTCTGTTCTTTAACGCTCAGGACACTTTACTTTCTGAAATATTTGGGAAATTTCACTGTTACTGCTTACAGTTACTGATATAGGCTTTTGAGAACCTTAATTGATTTAAAAGATGCCGTTAAAATATTTAAAATACCATTTGTACATTGAAAAAATGTCATAGGCATAATCATGAACATCATTGGGTATAAATGTTGTATGTAAAAAAAGTATAACAGTACACGAATATAAATATCCTAGGACATAAATGTTATTCGTACAAAAATTAAAGAAGAAATTAACGGTCACCATGTTTGGAATGTGATAACTGTGAGACCTATTGAATACCGACCACACCCAATGCGGCGAACCGGGTTGGAATCCCAGTCGATACGAATTCCGCATCTGGCTTGCACCGACCACAGTGCTGACGTGAAATATCCTTAGTGGTAGACGGATCATGGGTTAGAGCCATTCAACCATCTTACAAGGCCGGACTATGGTTGATCTAGCGTCATATGATGCCGTTCCCGGACGTGTTGCGATGCAATTCTCCATCTTTTGAGACGTCCAAATTCCCCTTATAGTTTATGGGACAATCTGTGTATTCCATGATTAATATTCAGAAATAGTAAATTGTATTAATTGAAATTTTTTACTAATAATTGTTATGAGTGAAATTACAGTATTATGAATTTGAAATCGCAGGAATGTTTTTCTTGAAACATAAAATAAATTTTTCCTTAATTTATTTACAGATGTGCCGCCAAAAATGCATTGTAGACTTTATTTCTCATTGTTTTAACTGCACACATTTATTCTTCACTTATCCTTCTGATAAAAGAGACCTTTGTCCTCCAGGTAGCGTTACTTTGTTTTTAAATTTCCTATTTATTAGTTTCTTTTAAAGGTAAGATAAAGCAAAAAAAAAATCATCTAAGCATTCTTCTCTATAGTTCATATATTGTATTTGTTTTACAGATTGATCCTTAAAAAATGATTTCTTTTTCAAAAGATTTTTTCAATACTTCTCAATTTAAACTACGTCTCCACTTACATGGTGAAGCAATATTTGTTAGATTGGATTGATAATTTTAGAACATGCAAATATTGAGTGCATTTTTTTGAAATTTATTATGTGAATTCATTCATTTTATTTTCATTCGATTTGCATCAATACTTTCCTTATTATCTCTGCATTCTTTTAATAGTGTTCAGGTAAAATGTTTTATTAGAGGAATTTTCTCATATTATTAACAAATTGATTGACAAACTCTTGAAAAAATTTCGTCAAATTAATAAGTGAGAGATAATAATGAAGTTTTCACGGCCGATACACGAAGAAAGAATTCTAGCAAATTACCGTAATGCATGGTAAATACATTTCTAAAATTGCAAAAAAAATTACAATTTCTGGAAATAAAATCAAAAATAGAGGTATTTAAACTATTTATTTGGTAATTTTTTCATTCATGTTGTACAAGTTGGTTTTCTCAATCATAGTTCTTATTACCACACATTTAATAAAAAAAATGCAAAACTTAAAAATGAATTTTACCGAAAACATGTTTTTTTAGGCCAGGCTCTAAGGTATCATGATAATATTACCAAATTTTATCAAACATTCTAAAATAAGGCTTTTTGTGCTTTAAACAAGAGGCCTGCACTAATTTTACAACAATCATTATCAAAGTGCTTTGGTAAAAATTACCTAGCTGGGCTTTCCATAGGACCAGAAACGTGGTAAATTACACCATATTCCAGTAGTTTTGACCATGCTTTTTTTTCAGTGCAGTTATATATTTTTTTAAATTTTTTTATTTTTAAATAATTTTAGTATCACCTTAAATGATATCCATTCATCTCCATAAAAATATTTTAATACATTAAACTAAATGCAGTGTTATTATAAATATTTAATTATATAATATAAATAATCATACTTCCATAATTATAGCATGTGAGTTTAGATATGTTATTATAGACTAAGCAGCTTAAGAAATCGTTTAAAGGTATCAATTTTGAACGTAAATTTAATGAACACTGTATAGTATAATTAATTTTATTCTAGGCATGAAAAACATGAATATTACAATAAATGATGAAAATTGCTATGAGATGTATCAGCAGATAGAGGTTTGCATTATGACATGCAAAGAAGAGTGCTTGTAAGTAAAATTATTTTTTTATTACACATAGGAAAACTTTAATTTATTTTTTAAAAAAAATATTTGTGATTTTTATTTTTTATTATATTTTTTTCAATTTATTTATTTCAGAAATATATTAATTTGTTCATAGCTAAATTTTATACTTTTAACTTAGTTTTCTGTGCCATGAACAACCACATTCGGTAGGACTTTTAATAAAATTTATTAATTTTCATTAACATATTTTTTATTATTTCGATTCAAGCGAGAGGTTTTCTTAAAAATACTAAGCATTCGCTTAGATTAATGAGAAGCAGATTCGAAATTTTTCTAATTTGGAATTTTGGAAATGAAAGATAGTAGACTTGGTTACGAGTTAAGTTTCCCTCAAATCTTAGTTCTTCCTCAAGTTGGAAGTTTTTGCCAAGCATTCTGATTATTCTATTCTTATTATATTTCTATTCATAATATGAATTTAATGCTAAATACGCCTTTGAAAATTAAAAAATAGGAATAATTAGAAAATTATTAAACAGTAACAGTGATGAAAATTTTATTGTTGCCATGATAGCAGTTTCTAGCTGAGTTACATTTTTTTTCTGGCAAAAAAGTTACCGAAGTTATGAACCATCTGGTCCAGTTTTTTAAATATGATAATATAAAAACCTTTTTTCTGCTTGCATGCAAATTCTTTTAGTTTCTCTAATGTTCTATCAAAAATTAGCTATTTATTAGGTACAGAGAAAAGTAAAGGCTGTGATAAAAGTGGCAATAATCGTGGTAATAGTTTATTTTCTAAAAATATGTTTATTTAGCACTAGTTATACATAGATAAGAACCATTGAATTGTTGTCTCCACATTTTTCTTTGAAACTAATTTAATGAGCGTGTGAAAAAATACCTACCTACCCGGTAGCTGAATTTATTTGAGTCAATATTCAGCACTATCTCCCATGACTTCAATTTTATTGTGACTCCAACGCAGTCAAGCAGAAATTATTGCAAAAAATAGGCTTAGTCAAGCATATACATTTAGGCTTAGTCAAGCATATACAAATTTTATTATAATAAAGTTATACGATTTAATTTGAATTAACACATTTATATTTCAGCCATACCTAAAAGGACAAAATAATTGAGACTTATAATGAGCCCAATATTTTAACGAAAAATAACAGAATTGTAATTTGTGCCCACTTAAAATTTTCTTCAAACGAAACTGATGACTGTGCCATCAAATTCTTTCTTTGTAGACTTGTAAAACAATAACATGAAAAATGAACATTTTACTTTTTTTAAAACAAACAAAAAAAACTGTTCTTCATTTTTATTTTTAAGTTAGGAACAAAATTTCTTCTCCTTTAAATTTTATCTGCTATTTTTACTTGATGTCCACTTTATTTGCTAGCATTCATTTTTATCGGAGGGGGAAAATAATTGTCAGATGTTGTGCTAAACTGCAGCAGCCACTGCCATGATGGGGGGTTTGTGATACCGGGCTTGCCTATAATGATGAGTATCCACCGAATAAAGACACTTATCCGATCACTAAAATTTGAAACTAAAGAGATTTTTTTTTAAATTTATATTTGAAGAATTTTAATTCTTAGCCAATCACAGATTAATCCCTTTATGCCGTAGCTTTTTAACTAACAAGGGAAACTAGGGAAGTGTGACTCGCCAATTTTGAAATGAACTAGTGGGATGTATGCCTTATGAAGAATAATTTTAGGGGGCAACATTCGTTTAGGCCCATAGAAGGTCCTGTGAGAGATAAAAAATAATTCAATATATAGAAAAATCGGTATTTTATTACTTCATTGCAGACTATTAGATATTGTAATTGTCTCAAAATCCAATTAATTTGTAATTAATTGGATAATTAGTTAATTCGCTAATTAATAACTTAATTAACATTCGTTTCGGCCCATAGAGGTCCTGTGAGAGATAAAAAATAATTCAATATTTTGAAAAATCGGTATTTTATTACTTCAATGCAGACTATTAGTTATTGTAATTGTCTCATAATCTAATTAATTTGTAATTAATTGAATAATTAATTAATTTGCTAATTAATAAATTAATCAGAAAATTAATTATTAATTAATTGTTAATTAATTAATTGAATTGAAATTACTTACTCCAATTAATTTGGAATGTTTTTTTTTAAAAAAAAATGAAAAAAATTTGATGTCAATTTGTTTTAAAATTAACTTAACAGGTTTTTCTGAAAAACTACAGATATATGAAATTTCCGAAATCAATTTTGACAATAAATATGTGCATTATATAGTACGTGAAAGTGCCACAAAATTAATTGGAGTATGAGACAATTAAAATAACTAATAGTCTGCATTGAAGTAATAAAATGCCAATTTTTCTATATATGAATTATTTTTTTATCTCACACGGGACCTTCTATGGGCCGAAACGAATGTTTCCCCCTAAAATTATTCCTCATAAGGCATACATCCCACTAGTTTATTTCAAAATTGGCGAGTCACACTTCCCTAGTTTCCCTTGTAAGTGAGAAAGGTACTACAGAGTTTTACCGAGTTTTCCTTAGTAATTAGCCTAACATTCTACGAAAAAATTAATTTTTAATAGTTTTTTGTTAAAATTCTAAAAATATTAACTTTTTAATATTATTATTTTAGAGGATATAGAAATTGAATGAATTATATTGGTAAACAGAGATTCAGAGTAGGTGCAGAGGGCCCACCAGAGGACTCATTTATTTTATCAAAATGATTTTTTTGAATTGCCTTCATATAAACGTAAAATTTTATTCCTTTTGTTTTAAAATTTAACTTAATTTCTTCTTTATAGAAAGGTATCTTTTTCTACTGAAGTGAAAGAAATGTACTTATCGAGAAATGTAAGTGTTTTAAAATATTTTAAGTAAATATAAGAGAAACACTTCAGTACCTTGTACACAAAATTTTTATTTTAAAGAAAAATGAATCTTTTGTATCATATGCACCAAAATAGAACTATTTATTGATAAGCTAGATCAATGTTTCGGATTTGAATTTTCAATTTGCCAGCAATTTTGGTTAAAATAGTACATACTTTTAGCTATTATTGAATGAATCAAAAACCATTGCATGACTTACGGCATTACTTTCGTGATAGGATTACATAGAAAACTGCAATGACTATCAAGAATAACATAATTTCTTTAGAATTTTGAATGATTTGTCTCACATTAAATAATGTGTTTTAATTCTGGCAATAATCATAAATTACTCTAAAGAAAGAATATAGATACCTAATTCTGATGCACAAATTATATTTTTAAATCAGTTTAATTTAAAATTAATAAAACGTATATATTTTATGGTAAATTTAACTTTATTTTCATATTAATTTTCTTAGAAACCTGACAACAACTCCACCAGCAATTCGTAAGTGTTTTTTATCATTGTAATCTATAGTTTTTAGAAAAAAATCATGATTGTTCATACTTAGAGTAATATTTCCTTCTTAATTTTCAGTCGTTTCATATATTTAGATGTGGACATCAATGACAAAGAAATCACACGTTTTGAATTCAGTCCAAAATATCAGGTATAATAAGCTAAATATGAACAAAAAATAATAAATATTACTTCTATGGATTTTTAAAAGAAATATTTTTTGTGTTGAATTATAAAAATTCATCTACACAACTTAACTTCCACTTAACACTTAAGCTTTTCTTGGGCTTCATGTAGATTACCTACAAGATATTACAAAATACACCGTAGTAAGTGCTCTATAGTATGCCCATCATAATATATTGGATTCTCTATTATAACAATGGAAAATCTAATTTTCCCCTTAGTTTTGTGTTAACATCTATAATGCGAGGCGTGCTTAGATGATCTTAGTGATGGTGTTTAGTTAGTTATTAGAGATCCTATGGCAAGCATGGTTTTCCGCTTTAGACAATGTTGGAAAAGCAACACAAATTCATGAAAAAGCTAACTCGTTCATGGCTACATACTTCTGGCATGGTAAATAATCACCATTTAATTTAGTATTTTTTGTGACTGCAATTGACTCTTCGTTAAATGCAAACAAAAAAATAAGCAAAATAGAATACAGTTCCTTAAATGTTATTGTTTAACTGTTAATAAACTAATCACTAAAATTAAAAAAAGACAGAAATGGCCCACGAAAAGATTAAAGCAATTTAACAGCAATATGTTAAAATTAGAGACTATCATTTAATCATCTTCAAAAGTGAAAACGTTTTCAGACCTTTTATTCGATTAAATAATAATACTATATCGTAACGCAAACATGATTTAGACACGTACATAAATTTTATCACCATGCTGTTGAAAAATGTAATATAAAGCTTTCAGTATAAATACATCATTTGGAATAAGAACTTTTAAGATATTAATTTCAACAAACAAATATTCTATAATACGCTGTCATGCATTTCCAAATCTCATGAGGATTTATAACCAAGTTTCAAAATCACATTGGCTTAGAATTTTAACTATAGCGAGTCACTCAAGAAGTTCAATTTATTCAGATAAACACGAGTTCCATAATCTGAAAACCACTATTCATCTTTTTTTCATAATCATAGATCTTTTCATAGATCATAGATATAGTATCATAATCATAGATCATAATCATAGATATAGTATATAAGAACAGATCTTCTTCATTACCATCATCAATTTATAGTCAACTTTTGTGACTGATTTAGTTTGTTTTATAATATCATAAGCACGTGATGGTTTTTATGCTTGACGTAAGTCTTAGTTTATGCCGTTTAGCTAAACTTTCAAGCCAAACATAAGCACTGGAGCATATGGAGAGTTTTGCTCATTTTTTGAATCAGTTTCAATAATCTTAAACAATTTGTACTGTAACAGATATAGTTTTTATTGTAAGGAGTTGTAATTTTTAAAAGTTATTTTTTTTTGGGGGGGGTGAGTTATTTTATTTGAGAGAAAAACATCTGTAATCAATTAACATAAACTTTTCGGGAGAAAAAGAGGCTGTTTCTGTTGTTACTTGTCACCCATGTCTTACATAATATCCAAATACTTAAATGCCCACCGGCTAAAAAGGCTTTATTTAAAAGTTGCAAATGTGAAACCTTTGTTAACTATAAAATTAAATATTTTTCAAGTCATGGCTCGTAATATCTTGTCTCGTCATGGCTCGTCTTTAATTTTCTCGGCAAAAATTATTGCACATTTGTCATATAAAAAACATAGCCAGGAAATACACAAGTGGGCGACCTTTGTGCTAAAATACAAAACTCAGGCAAACAACGTTAAAGAGCACAAAAATATTTATGAAATACAGACAGCTGTTTCGGATGCTCAAAGGGCAATCTTCATCAGAGCAACAGTTGAAGCTGTTGCCTTAGTTTCATAGTCAGGAAGTTAAAAAAAATAGAAGCAATGCTTCAATTTGCAAATGCGTAGTTATTGCATACATCTTTTTATAAAAATCTTTGAATTTCCTCCATTTTTGTGTTTTTTCAGAACGTTGAAGCCTTCAGTTACATTGGTGGATTTATTGGTATATGGCTTGGTGTTTCATTGGTTCAAGTAGCAGATTTCCTAGAATCTATCTTTCTCATCATTCGTTACTTTCTTAAGAAAAACCGCAGGCCCCTGAAAGAGATTGAAGTCAGTAGCTAGGATTTAAAGAACAAAACTAGTTTTATTTATTTTTGCAACTATGTATAACTTTTTTTCATGATAAAAAGACATCAAAAAGTGAAGAAAAAATTCAATTTGTTTCAGACGCAAGAAATTTAAAATTTTCTAACAGCCTTATTGAAACCTTGATGTTATGTTTTTGAAATGTAATTTAGTAATGATGGAAATATCTAAAACTCAAACTGTTTAAAGACAGGACAATTAAATATTGTAATTCTAGTTTTATTTATTTATTTATTGTTACTATGTGGAGTTTTTTTTTTCACTGTAAAAAGTTCTCAGAAGGTTCAGAAACTTTTCGATTTATTTCTGACTCATGGAATTTCGAATTTTCCAGCAGTTTTATTAAAATCTTAATACTATTTTTCTAAGATGTAATTAAGAAATGATGGAAATATTCAAAACTGAAACTGTTAACAACAGCACTAGTAACAATAAAGATTATCAAATATTTCAAAAGCAGATAACGTAAAAATGTTGTAAGGTGCTTTCTTTATCTACAGGGTAAATAGTATTCAAAAAAACAATGTGAGATGTTCAATGTTTAACATAATTTATCTTACATTTGCAAATGAATGTTTACCGACCACAGTGTGATAGAATGTTCGCCACCCAATGCTGCGAACGGGGTTGCCGGCTTGGGTTGCCAGGCTGCTCATCCGGCTTGCACTGATCACAGTGTTGACGTGAAATATCTACAGTGGTAGACGGATTATAGATTAGAGTCTCCTTGCCGTTAGGCTAAATGTGGGAGATTTTTATGGTTTTCCTCTCCATGTAATGCAAATGCGGGTTCGTTTCATCAAAAAGTCCTCCCCGAAGGCAAATTTCTTCCAACACTTGATCCGGGAGTTCCTTTGTCTTATGTGATGGGCTCAAAAGTAAATGGTTACGGAGTTGAATATTAGTAGTCGCAAATCTAAAATTGGTTCGGTTATTCAATGACAGTTATAAAACAAAATGGATGTTTTCAGAGAAGTGGTGGCTAAGAGGATAGAGCACTCATCTCTCAATGAAGTGAGACGGGTTCAAATCTTAGCATTGGCTGGTCGATACGAATTTCGTACACAGCTCGTACTGACTACAGTGCTGACGTATAATACCCTAAGAGGTAGACAGATCATGGGTTAGAGTCCCATGCCGTCAGACCAATCATGGAATTTTTTCGTGGTTTTCCTCTCCATGTAATGTAAATGCGGGTTGTTTCCATCAAAGAGCGGATTATTTCCATTCCGAATTTCTCCCTATACTTCATCCTAGAGTTCGCTTATCTTCTGATTCGGGTTCAAAATTACAAGGACATGGAGTTGAATGGTAGTAGTAAACTCTGAATGAATAATTGATTAAAAATAAAATAAAATGATTGCTTTGAACACTCACTGTTGCACATGCATTATACAGCTGATTCATCGTTTTTGAGCTGAACTTAAACATCGAGTCTCGTAATGACATAGGAAATATCTCAAAAATATTCATATCGGTCATTCGTCTTCGATCATCGCATTACTTTTAAAAACAAAGTCAGAGCATTAAAACAGAAAGAAGAAGAAAAAATCACAGTAAAAATGCTACCAAAATGAAGTATACTAGCGGAAACATGGAAGTATTGTAGACTTTATGATACTAAATGGTATTTACACAAAATCGAAGAATTTGCGGTATTTATTTTTCTCTAAGTAAACTAGGAACAATTTTTCTTGTTTTCTTCAAATGAATAAAACAAACATTTCTTTCGCATTTCACATAAATTTGCTTTTTTTTGCTTGATTTACCTTGAAAATTCATTTTCAAAATATTTTTTTTTCATGTGATTGTTTCTTGTATAAAATCTAAATAATTCATATTTATTCAATTGCTTGTATTTTTTTAATTAATAAAAACAATTCCACTTTATTTTTTTCTGTAAATAGAACAGAATAAATTTCTTATGAATAAATGTTTTTTGTATTAATTTAACTTTTGATTTTGTTGATTCTTTTAAAATAAGTTAATAATTAAATAAAAGTTTCCGTTATAACAAATCCGTTATGTTTCTAAAAACACACTACGCAAACATGCTTGAAAACAATTTCAATTTATGTTTCCTTTTTAGTTGATAGGAATATTTCTAAAACATAAATTGAACTGTTAGTGCTATATAAAAATTCGTTTGAGTACATGATGTTTTTATCTAATGATCAAATTTAAAAGTATAAATTGAAGTCTTGCTGTTTTATGAAGCACATTTTAAATATGATATGTGTAACAATTTGACTAAGTAACGGAATCAAAATTAAGGACTCACATCAAAGTGAAGAACCTACTTTATCTATGCAAGCACACATTTTCTTTTCCACAATTTCGATTCTGAATTATTTTTCAATATGTAAGTAAGAAATAAAAATGATTCTGAAGTTAATGAAGTTTGGAAGTGTCCTTTTAATGTTTAAATTATCAATTGCTTGCCATACCTTCAAGTCTAATTCTTTCGAATTGCTTTTAATCACAATAAAAATTTCGTTTCCCAAAACCATTTACTTTCTAAGCTTTTAACGCAATTATTTAGATATTTAAAAAATTAATTTTGCTTAAGATGAGGAACTTTAGATTTTTGAAATAGAAAAATTTTGGCAAGAAGTACTTGAATTTGAATTTCTTTTTATATCTTTTTACATATACTATTATTATTGTGTTGCAAAAGAGGCTCTACTACTCACTTTATAATATTTTTTTAATTTGAAATGTGTTTTATAAAGTTGTTCTTATCGTTTTTTTACTTAAGAGTAATCAAAATACTTTTTTTTAAACATTTTTATCATTTCATGCAATATGTGGCAAACCTGCTATAAAAAATGAATTTAAAATACGAAACTAAATTAACTTAAGCAACCGACTCAAATCTCTGCTGAAATTTTGCGATCTATTTTTTTGTTTCCTGACCAATCTATTATACAGAATTGAATTTTTTATACAATATTCTACTGCATTATAAACATTGAAGTGGATTTATCGTTAATCGAAATTCCGACAGCGAAAATCTCGACTGAAGCACCGAACTAGCTCATTCGGCCTTCTGACGAATATAAACTGAATTTCTCGCGATATTTTCATGGAAGATAATTTGTCAAAATTTCAATCACTTTAAAATTATAAATAAAGCAGATAAATTTTAACTAAATCATTGTACTTGATGACAATAACAATTTCGATAGTTTTCTGACAGCTACAAAAATATCACCAAATGGTGATTTAAAATTCCGACAACTTCCCGATGTGCTAATGTGATCAAATTATAACTGTACCTCCCAACTTGCTTGCAATGCAAGTTTCGGTCTTTTCTTAACTTCCACAAATAAAATTTATAGCCATTGTATCGCCAAATAGAATTTATAGCCACTGCTTTCCACTTCCTAAAGTGTTCAAATTTCAGTTCGAATTCTGTGTATGATGAAATCAGACGTTTTAGCGATTTCCATAGCACTAGAAATATAATTTATGCACTAGAAATATATTATCACAAAAACCAATTATCATATTATAATTGTGTTTTATACGTTAGGTGGCAACATAAGTTTGAATCGTTTTCCTACTGCTGCAAGCAAATTGTATTGCTATTATCTCGTTAATGATAGGTTACTTTCAATCGAAATTTTGACCCCTTTCTGACTAATTAGAATGACCAAATTAAAACTGGAACTCTATATAATTTCACTTTTAGTTACAATTATATTATCAAAATCGTGCAAGCAAAATTAATTGCCAATAGCAATTTCCACTGCTTACCCACACAAACAATATTATCGACACAAAACTAAAGAAAAGTTACTATTTTTTTTTATCCCTCTATACCTAAAAAGATAAATATCTAAATTCGTTTCACATTGTTGTTGGGTATCCTTATTATTCAGTAAATCATATTGTATTGCGGCAACAAAATTGGAAGAACCCGGTTTCCATAGATTTAGCAAATATTTGTAAAGGTATTTTTTACCAGCAAATTTGTTTATTCCTAATCAGTATTTTCCTGCAATACACATTCGTCCTTCGTTTTTAGCATTATTTTCTGTTAATATTTTATTTCAGATTTTAATTATTATTCCAAATATGATGTTTAAATCTATAGAGAGTAAACGATTACTGTTAAAAAATCGCATGACATTTTCTTATAGCGCTACATTTTATGATAAACATCTTTAAATTGGTCTCTAGCTTATTAAATACTTAGCAATTATTAAATATTTAATAATTCATATTTATGTTTGTAGTTACCATTATATGATATTGTGCCTAGTTAACGTGTGAAAATAAAATAGTGAATACAAGAATGCAAAGCAAGATTGCAAATTATTTTTTCTTAGGATTACTAAACAAACTTTATGGCGGAAGCGTTTAAGTGTTTTTTATAAGTGACAGATAAGTAAAAAGGAATTAAGGAAAACCGCAGATGAACTTGCAATGTCAACCGAGCAGTATAATAAGGTTTCAATTTTATCCCCATTGAATCAGAAACTAAAGCAGTATTACACACAATAAAATCTTAAGTATATTTTAATTGAAAGATATTTATTCAGGTGGAGCACCCTGGTGTTTAAATACAAGGAATAATTTATCTATTCACCAGTCAAAAGTATCATGACTCCACATGAAACAATAGATGCATCATGGCGTTGGATTTTCCATGGTTTGGATCTATTTTTGTCCTTCTTAGAACCACACTGAAAATCCCATAAAATACTTTTGGGGTTAATAAGAACACATATTGCGAGTTAGAACGCAGATTACGCAGCCAGCAAAATCGACTCTCCTCACAGCATTCTGTTTAGCTGTTATGAATGCCTGGAAGACCATTCATATAGATACTTTTCGATGATTGGTGAAAAGTCTTGCCAGACGTGCAGTCATTAATGCAAAAAGGGAAACCAACGTCATACAATCTGTCTTTCGAATTTTTTCTGTCTTTCCTATCCCATAAAGTGCTCTTACTATCTCTATTCTCACTTAAAGTGCGAGTAAGCAAGTACTAACGTATGCAAGGATTGGATGCGTGTATATTTTAAAGTCTAGGAAAGAGGTTGGATATTGTTGTTGTTGGCGTATGCCTGTTAAGGCAGAGGGGTGCGATTGTTCATGTTTTCCAGTGGCGCCATCTATAGCCAAGAATTCGACTTCTGCCACATCCATACGTCACACCTGTTTATAGGGTGTGACACATTCATACATCCATTCATTCATCCACATATCGCAATTTTGACCTGAAACAGAGAACGATCATTCTCCAATTCAGTATCCCCAGAGGCACGGCCCCCTTATCAGGGGGGAAGGAGGGCGCACGATGCGCCCACTTAAAGCTTGGGGGGGATTTTTACACTAAATAAAATGAGTAGTTTGGGGAGGAATTTAGACGAGAGAATTTTTATTTTATTTTTTAAGCACATAAATGAAAGAAGCAACTGGCCATTTTCAGGCGTACATAACTTGAA